TTTGAGCAAACAGGAGGAGTGGGCTACGGTTTACGTCACTAGACCTTTGAGGGGAAGGACAAATCACTATGTCGTCCAGGCCGCCAAGGAAATCATGTTACAGTTGAAGCAAACGGGACTTCACGTGGAAACCATCCACACCGACAGGGCGAGAGAGTTCAAGGCCAAGGCGTTCAAGGATTGGACTTCGGAGGTGAAAGTGAGGCACACCAAGACAGCAGGGGCAGACCCCTCAGGGAATAGCTCAGCTGAGTTGGGTATCAAGTGGGCGAAGGCCCGAGTCCGAGCTTTACTTGGTGCCGCAAAAGCCCCGGCTCGTGACTGGCCGATGGCTATCCAACATGCTTCTGCGGCTCTGTGGGCTAAAGCTTTTCCTGACAGCTCATGGACTAATCCCCCGGCGACTGTGTTCGGCAACGAAGTTTGGTTCAGGTCCAAGGGCTATCAAGGGAAGAAGGAAAAGAAGCAGGAGGCGGCCGGAGCGCGTTGGAAGAAGGCCTACTACATGGGACCTGCCATGGATGTGAAAAGAGGCCATTTGTTGGCCCGTGAAGATGGAGGACTCACGGTGGCGAAGAGTGTGAAGTTTGGTGTGGTTGAACCGGATAAGGAGCTGAAGGGCATCCTACATCCTGCCATCGGAGAAGGGCTACCTGATGAGATGTTGATCAACATGGATCCTCAATCAAAAAGGGAGATCAAGGAAGAAATTGAGTTCCGGGCCACCAAGTTGAACAACGAGAAGAACTATGACATTGGTGAGGTGGTTACTCTATATCGTCTCCTGGAGAACTTAGGCCAGTCCGACTCAAGGATTGATAAGAAAGCTCCTATGACGTCTTGGTACACGGGGGCCTTCGTCCATGGTGGAGTGGCTGGGACCAGAGCCAATGTGAAGGAGTTCCCTAACATGACAAGGTACCTGACTGAGTTCGCTAAGTTCCACTGCGGGGATGTAAAGTTTTCAGCATTGGGATTGGCAAAGAATGCTCAACTGGGTCTGCACCGGGATTCCCACAACTATGAGCTCTCCAAGAACCACGTGCTACCCCTTCAACAGTTTGATCAAGGATCTCTATGGGTTCAAGACGATGATGTTGAAGATTCACAGTGCGTCGAAAAAAGGTTGCCAAATGACAAGGTGATCAAGGGGCGGTGCTTGGATATGCAAAGGGGAAAGATGGTGAGTTTCAGTCCGCGCTTATGGCATGAAGTTCAACCTTGGAGTGGTGAGAGATTGGTGATGTTGCTTTACACCCCGAGAGCCACAAAGCTTCAACCAGATGGAGTAGAACTTCTCAGGGAAGCTGGTTTCAATGTGGACCCTGAATCACTTGCAGGAGGTGAAGAAGAGGACACTGATGATGAAGGTGAAAGTGATGGCCTTTCTGCGTTCCCAAGGGCAATGGTAAAAATGGTGGTTTCGGAGCCCCTTACCAAGGTCGGCTACGCCTTTGTCGAGTGCGATGACACGGAAGAACCTCCTGTGACGACCCTGGAACCTAGTGCCTTCCATTACGATGTGCCTGGCTTCAACGAGGACAAGGAAGGCATGGCCCATGTGAAAAAAATGGTCAAAAAGGCCGACGTGCAGTACACGCAGGGCATTGAGCAAATCCTTGCAGACATTGAGGCCAAGGGTACACAGCTGGAAGTAACCCACACAGTGAGTTTGGCGGACGTCAAGAAGGAGATCGAGAAGTGGAAGCCCTCTGCCCTGAAGGAGTTCAAGAACTTAACGGAGAATAAGAAAGCCTTTTCTGTAAAGAAGCGACATGAGCTTCCCCCGAACTGCCGGATAGTCCCTTGCAAGGGTGTCTACACCGTGAAGCCGGACAAAGGAGCCCCCGGATATAGGAGAAAGACAAGGTTTGTGGCCTGTGGAAACCATGTTCCGGAGGAGTCCATATGCCTGGACCTCTTTGCAAGCGGCTTGGATGCTACTTCATTGAGGACTATGCTGGCGTTCAATGCAAGGCGACCCTGGCGGATAGGGACCACGGATGTCAGACAAGCTTTTGTCCTTGCAGGATGGCAGGGAGAACCTGTGGCGCTTGAGCCACCGGCCATAGCTTACGCTTTGGGACTGGCAGTTCCGGGCGACATGTGGTACGTTGAGAAGGCTTTGTATGGGTTGAGAGAGTCCCCAGCACTTTGGTCACGATTCAGAGATGAACAGTTGAAGCAAGCCAGATGGCAGATGGTCATTGATGGCAAAATGGTGACAATGAAGCTGGAACAGTTGGTTTCGGACAATCAAGTTTGGAAAATTGTTCAAGAAGATGGTGAGGGAGAAGTGCAAGGTTACGTCTTGATTTACATCGACGACCTTCTCATCAATGCGCAGGAAGAGGCTATGCACAGCTTCTTCAAGTGGGTGTCTAACAAATGGGAGGTTGAAGATTTGGATGTTCTGGACTATGACCACCCAATCCGTTTCTTGGGCATGGAGCTTCACCGTGTTCACAATGGGGTGGAGCTGGCTCAGGAAGGTTTTGTCAACGAGATCCTACGAGCTCATCATCATAGTGGTGGAAGGTCCCAATCACAGGGACCAAGGGAAACCTTACTCCTCAGCGACGAGGAGGAGCGAGCCTTGATTGATGCAGAGCCGGTGACCGTGGATCAAAAGAACCCAGCGCTCAAGGAGGCGCAACGAAGAGTCGGAGAACTTCTTTGGCTTATGGGAAGAACAAGACCTGATCTACAACACACGGTTTCTATTATGGCCGCAAGATTGACAAGGTGTCCTGAGATGGTGAATAAGCTCGGGGAACGATTGTTGGACTACTTGAATGAGACCAAGTTCTATCGTCTGGGATTAACCCAAGACAATGATGAGGTGATGGAAGAACTGAATGTCTACACCGACAGCTCCTTCGCACCGAGTGGAGGACGTTCTCAAGGCGCAGCGGTGGTTTTTCTAGGTTCGAGCCCTTTGGTTTGGAGGGCAGGAAGGCAACAGCTGGTTACGTTGTCAACAGCAGAGTCAGAGCTCCTGGAAACCGTGGAAGGGACGCAGCTGGGACTTTCAACGAGAGGCCTCATCTCCGAAGTCGCGGGCAAGGAGCTTCCTATCACGGTATGGGTAGACAACAGTGCAGCAGTATCCCTCCTTACTACCAGTTCGGGTTCCTGGCGCACTCGGCACCTGCGACTTCGATCAAATTGGGTACGTGAGATGACCCTGAGGTCCGAGTTGGCCATAAAGTTTACCCCGGGCGAGTTTCAGAGGGCAGATTTAGGAACGAAGCCGTTCACGAGGGAGAGGTTGAAGCAGTTGGTCAGAATGTGGAACATCAATGACAGACGAGAAGCTTCAGAAAGCAAGACCGTAAAGAGCGTGAACGTGCAAGCGTCGTGGCTACAACGTCTACTCCTTCTTTGTCAAGTTTGTGGTTCGGCAGCTCAGAAACAGGACCTCCAGGCTGAGATCCCCTGGGATTTATATTTGGCGATCGTGGTCCTTGCTGTGGCTGTCATTGGCATGTGGGAAGGACTCAAACACTGTTGCGGCCCTAAAGGTGCAAGGGTGAAAGCCTTGAAGGCAATGGCATCCTCAGCACAAAAAGGGAAGCTGACCCGTATTGAGTTGAAGGAGCTTCAGATGCTTATGACCTTCGAACCACGTGAACTGACGGAGGAACAGAAGGAAAGACTTTGTGACCTCAAGGAGAAGTTCGATAACACGATGCCTTCTGGATGTTCACCCGCTCCGAGATTCCCTACTGATGAACCTCCTCTACTACCACCTCCTGATCCTCCTTCGTCCTCTTCGGCATCAAGGAATAAGCAACCCAAGAAAAAGGAAATGCAGGACCAATCCACTCAAGCTGATTATGAGCCAGCTTTTACCAGGGTGCCTCCTGCACCTCCACCGACCAGGGAAATCATTGCGGGTCCCTACTACCAGGTTCCGGGTCGAGACCATGTCCATGTTTTCCGTGAATGCTGGGGCCTACGCAACGCCGGTAGAGTACAGCAGCTCACAATTTGTAGATGCTGTTTAGAGAACGGCGGCAATCGCATTTATTAATGATGCAGCCCTGACGGTCGCACCAAGGAGGAGTGTAGAATCATGATGCCGCCTATGTAAAGGAAAGCTCTTGCGAAACCGGGAACCAGAGTTGTATGTAAAGTTTGCAGCTCAGCACCGGTGTACTGGCCATTCGTGCTCCAGGCTGACAAGAGAGCTCAAGGCGAGCGATCCATGCGCATGTCAGCATAGGGAGTACAGAGTGCTTAAACAAAGCATGCCAAAGAATGGCAAGCGAACATAAGCAGACACGCGCTGTTGTGACGCAAAAGTTAGAGCCTCTCCGATTCATGGCTTGTGGTGCAGCTTCTGCATAAACCCCTGGCCTTGAGGTGATATTCTTTGTGTTCTTGAAGAACCTTTACTCGCACACACCGGCAAGTCTGCACCCTGAGCCCCAAGTCCACAAGGCAGACCGAAACCCAAATCTACAACTTCAATCCCTCGGTGTTTAGGACAAATGCAGAAGCCTGAAAAAAGTCTCATATTAGGCCTCAGTGGCCTTCGTATGAAGTTGGGGCTTCGGGTATAAGGCTTTCGGCTTGGGGTTTGGGCTTACGGATCGCGCAAACTGGCCTTTTTTTGTGCGGGTTTCCTGAGGCTGGCTCAGATCTCTTCAAGCACCGGATCTAGGATCCCCATGCAAAGCGCTAACCCAAAACTCATGATCTTAAAGCCCGCGGAGAGTCCCAAACCTACAAAAACTCCCCGGGGCCCTTCAAACGCTCGTCTGAGAAGCAGTACTAGGTGGCACTTTGCGGGGGTATTTCTTGACTTCCCTTCTGGTCCTATACAGGTCCCGAATCATAAAGTCTTTCTGGGGGGTGCCTTACAGTATCCCTGGTGTTCTTTGCAGCATCCTCAACTGCATCCCTTGTCCCATCCTGCATAATGTCCTTTATAGTATCGCTTTAGAGTCACGTTTTATGGTGGTAGCCTTAGCCAGAGAAGCTCTTTTGGCGCGATGGCGGCTAGAGAGCTCGAGGTTCCCATCGCTGTGGGGGCCTTGGTTTCGAGGGTGTCAGAGCCCACACAAGTGCAGTGCTCGAAATTTTCCAGGAATCTCCGCCTCCCCCCAACCTGAAAAGATAAGAACTCAAACACGAGACTCCTCAACACAATCCCGAAACCTTACATCGCGACTCGGTCCCCACATCATGAGCCCTCAATGCATGAGTTCCTCACGCTAAATCTAAACTGCCGCAAGCCTCTGCTTCACCTTCTAAGCCTTAAAGACAGACCCCCCCGCACCTTCCTTCTCCAGTGCCGGAGCATTACAGGACGAAGCCGCGGCAAACACCGCGGCTCCCGCTGCGGAGGCCAGGGTCTTCAGATATGATTCTAGGGTTTAGCATGTCCGGGCCTAATCCCACGAACCAGCTTCAGACCTTCCTCAACGGACTGAGATCATGGGTCGGAGTGGGATTATCGCTGCGAGCGGGGCAAAGCTAGGCTTTACAGCCACGGATGCCGGAAACGCAAGCCTGAAACCGACAGCCCAAACCCTTCAATGTTAGCAGTGGGCCGACGCAGTCAAGCTTCTTTCGTCCGTGCTGGACCAGAACAAGAAGCTCAATCCGGTTCAGGGTTTAGGGCTGCGGTGGCGTGAAATAGTGCAGAAGTAGACCAGGGCTTAGGGCTTCATGTAACAAGCAGAATGGTAGCGGGCATTTCGAAGTGTTCAGGCTCTTGAATTGGAGCAACGGCCCTATTCACCTTCAAGAGCTATCCCGAATCACCGCCCCACGCTAAGGGAGAGACCGCCTGGCGTGGCCTCGAATAGCAGCAGCAAGTGACTAAATAAGTAAGAGGCAGGGCTGAAGACAGCACTCATGCACGCAAAATGTCCATGCACGACCCAGTATCGCCACAGTTACCAATGCCATCATCATCATCATCATCATCATCAGTGTGTCTTGTAGTACTGTAAACCTCAAGGCCTGAAGCGACAGACACGCATGCATGTATGTCCGCACAGCACAGCCTCAGCTAGCTGTCCAGGAGGCCGATGGTGGCGGCTTGAAGGATACAGACGGGGGAGGTTTTCAGGGCTTTTGCTTCTTCGTGTAGGATGTGGAGCTGAGGGTTGCGTTCTAGGTCTAGGGCAGTTAACCAGGCAATTTCTGGCAGTTGCTATATGTTACTATGGTGGTGCATGGTGCTGCTGACCACGCTCTTCATACGAGTTTACCGGTGATGCTCTTGTCGGCGATAGGTAGTATATAATATTAATGACTCTCATGACTGCGGTGAGGACGACGACGATGCATGTGCGGTGATGCCGACCCTGTTGATGAGTGTGATGACGATGATCATCGTGATGTTGCCGGTGGTACTGGTTGTGATTATGCTCGTGCTGGCACTAAGCCGGGTGATTACGATGGCTATTTAGGTTCGATGGTGACAGGCATAAGACGACAATGTTGATAAGACGAGGATTCGTGATGACAGGACAAGCAGGAATTTGATGATGATGATCGTCATCATGTGGATGATGATGTTAATGATGGTGATGAAGAGGAGGAGTGCGAAGTTAATCACGACGATGATGGGAGTCTGACGTAGATAGATCAATGTTTTTGCTGGAGTCAGCATGACCGTCAAGAGCCTTGTGGAAGCCCTCCGATCGTGGGTGAGTGCGGCAGCAATGCTCACGATCGGTCACTACGGTGTGGTTTCTATGATCTTTGCAGAGGCACTGAGTATATAATTACTACTATTTAGGAGCGTGCGAACTTTGAGCCGGAACCCAGGGCCTGAGGTTGCATTTATCACACGACTCGATCCTCTTCTGTTAGACTGCGGCAGAACGAGCATCTCAACTTCGCTTTAACTCGAACCCCTAGAATCCCCAACCCTAAAATCCCCAAGTCTTAAAGTCTTAAAGCTTCGTGAAGGAGCTCCTAGACGTGCCCTGGATCACTCGCCGAACTGGCGTGGATCTGTCGCTTTGCTCATAAAGTTGGGCATTGAGGGTCCAGGGGTGCAGCCAGGGCTTTACTTGTAAGGATATATTATAGTATATTATAGCAAGTGTATGGTTGCTTGAGTTGAGGGTTTAGGCCTTTACCTCTAGGGTTAGGGGTTACAATTCAAGCCCCGCAGTTTTATGTTTTCAGAAAACCGAAGGAGCCATCATGGGTTGTTTGGTATGTTGAACTCGTGTGGTGAACTTGCTCTCCTCCCGATCTCAGAGACCTGTTCCTCGACATCGCAGCATCCTGAAAAGGGGCGGAATCCTTGTCAGATGATTTTTCCAAATTTGCCACGATGGTCTGGTAGCTTGTTCTTCATCTTCTCGAAATGAAGGTCCTGTCCCTCTGCTGAAGCTTGTTTAGAATCTGACCCCCGTTGATGAACCACATTGCAAAACTAGCATTAAGAAAGGCACTCAAGCTTGTATTGGAGCCAGTGAGGTTCGTGGGGGCAAGCCCGAATCCTGAAATGTGGAAAACCAAATACACCACCCAGTACGACCAACCTGGAGGCTCGAAACCCGTCCTCTAGCAGACTCTGGCCCAAAGCAAGCTATCACCACATTTGAGGATCATCATCACCGTCCTTGGCATTGCTTTGGGCTTGATCTCCGTTCCATACTGCGCCTCGGCTTTGCGGATTGTCTTGGACATGTTTTTGAGATCAGATGTTGATTCTGGTTTTTCCAAGATAAGGCACTTCCCAACCCCGCCCCCTGGCCCCCGGGAGCCTCTTTGGCAGTTTTCGCCTGAGTTGTAGGTTTAGGGTTTAGAGACCTCCGCCATGGGAAGGCGCCCCTAAGTTCTGGACCCTCAACTTCGGATGGAGGTCTAGAGTTGAAACAGTATGCCACAGGCTTATAGTCCTTTAATGGCTGTGTGGTACAAAACCCAAGAATTAAGTTAGTAACATGTTTAGCATATTCCCTTCCAGTCCCTATATAGCTATGCTAGCAACAAAAATGGAAGGGGCTGTTTCTGGAACAAAGAGCCAAAAGCCGACTCTGATCGTGAAGGCTCCGATTTTGACCTGTGTTCTGAACCTATGCCTGGTTTCGACCTAAACCCTAACCCCAGGTGCTGGTGTGGAGAAGATCCCCGAGCTGTGGCAGCTGGATTGCGATAAAGTTTTGCCTCGGTTTCTAATGTTTGGCGACGGTATTTATAAAGAAGCTAGAGCAGAAGAAGATTATGACTATGACAGTTTTTGACACGTGTTTCTTGTAAGGTATCACTACTGCTCTTGTGCTGTGAGGCCTACTCAGTACTTAGTGTTCCAGTGCAAAGACAGGGGTTGAAGCGAAGCTTCGAGCGTCTGCTTGACAGATATAGTATTGCTAGTAGTAGTAGTAGTAGTAGTAGTAGTAGTAGTAGTAGTAGTAGTAGTAGTAGTAGTAGTACTACTAATAATAATAATAATGATGCTGTTTTTGTTGCTACTGCTACTGCTGTTGCTATTGGTATTGTCACTGTGATTAAGGTTTACGGTTCTGGTGACGTTTGCTGATGGCCCATTGGGAAGTTGGCTGTGGCTAATATGACGAGTAGTTGTTCTTGGCAGGAGTGTATTATGGGAGAGAATGTGCAGTTGTTCCTAGCCTCCCGCTTTCTTTCCGAATCTTCTTGATGACGACCTGAAGCCCCAAGCCCCCAAAAGCCAGGAAACCCTACAAAAGCTTTAAACCGGCGGACCCTCAACTCTTGATCTTTGCAGAACGAGACTGGCCTGCAGCAAAGCCAGAACCCCTGAAGCCCTAAGCCAGGAAGGATCCGAACCGACCAAGCCTGAAATCTCAATATCCTGATCTTGGTAGTCGAGCACCCTCAACCCCCCGCACATGAAACTGTCACTAAACTAAACTCTAGCATGTAAAAGTTTTGGTGCAGAAACCTCAATCTTGATTCAGACACTTCAACGTCATGGTTGTCATTCCGCACAGTCAACTCAGAACCCCGCAGCACTACTACACCCTAAACCCTCAACAGCACCCCCTCCCCTCACTCAACCCTTACGAAATTCCAGCCGCCGAAGGCTAGAGCACTTCGGCCCTCCAGGCAGGGGTTTGAGCTGCATATTTGTGTAGGGTTCTGCAAGCGCTCCAGAAGGGCTCGATAATACAAGAACAGAGGCTGAGTGTAGCTTGTCGCAAACTTCTGGGTTCTGGGATTGCAGAGGCTTGAAACGGAGCCTTTAAGAAGAATAGAGTTAGGGGGGTATTTGATGGATTCGCGGTAGCGGCGGTTGTCGATTCAGGGTCTGGGGCTTTGGGGGATGAGTTCAAGTTTGGGACTTGCTTTAGTGTTCAAAGGCGAGGGGTCCGGATGCCTTACACGTTCTTGACACTGAAGCGCTAAAGACGCGAAACCTCAGCGGATGCGGTAATATAGGTGCCCAAATAATCACCTATACTATTTTGGGGGTTCCTTATTATGATTATAGTATATTGGGCCCCAAAACCCTATTCTAATTATTGAGGCCCCTATACTCGGGTCTGAAAGTTGGCAGCCGCATATTTTGAGCCTAAATCTGCCAGAAACTGCCCAACGTCGTATCAGTCGTATCATGTCCTTTAGCCGTGGGCCGGACCACACGTATGTTGTACTTATACCGTTTCTGGCTTCCTGCATTCCAACCCAGAGTATTTGTTCTACTTTGGTCTCCTTTTATAATAGGTATCATGCCACAGAACTCAACAGGCCCGTTGTGTGGAGTTCTAGGCCTTGAAGCCATCATGGTGCGGAATTCCCGCTAGAAGAAACCCAAAGCTCTCTCCAACAGTCAGGCCTCATTGACAACGTGCACAACCTCTCCTTTTGTGCCGGTTCCACCAACTGGCATCTTGCCAGCATGAGAGGGGTTGGTTTGGAGTTGGGGTGTTGAGCCCAATTGTTCACGGGGCGTTCGAGCCTTTTTTGACGGCTGAGCTTCCTGGACAACTCCCGCTCGGAAGCAATTGGAGATAAGTTGCAAACTGCGAAGAGCAAAGTCTGCGAGGATGGTCGTGCTGCATTCCCCAGATAGATTCACATGCTGCCGGTATGTTCCGACACCAAATCCCGAAGCTGCAAAGCTCAGCAAGGATCCTTCTTTGTTGGGGCTTTTGCACGGTCGCCGGGGCGCTGAAGGCGTCACTGGACCTTGACAAGAACTTTGGCTGCAGGATCCCTTCAGGGAGTATTGGTTTTGTCATGATCTTCAATGGTTTCTTCCACGCGAGCACGAAGAGTTTTCGCCATTGGCGGTGCTAGCAACCATGGAAGCAATGGCAAGAGCATAACGCCAGCAACCGTAACCCATCGCTTGCTAACAGGGAATTGCTCACATGGCTTGCCGGCGTGAGTTGTGGGCTGCATGTGGGTTTCAGCATAAAAAACCGGAGAAATAATCCCAAACGGCAGGATCTTCCGTATCAAGCCGCTCAAGTCAGTCAGGATCTCCCAAATTTTCTGAAGCCTCCACATGTAGAGTTCGAGGTACCCTTCCTTCATTGACGAGCTCAAGCACCAGCACAGCGACCCGATAGTCTCCTTGAAGGCCCGGCCAGAGCCAGCGCTTCAGCCGTTTTCGGTTTCGGGGTGTGCAAGGAGTTTAGAAGGGGTTCAGGGGTTTCGGCGGTTTCGGGTTCTAAGGTTTGGGGTCCAGATTGCCAGGCCGTTTACGGTGTCTGTTGTCCTGGGTCTTTGGATCCTGCCTTGACAGGTTGTTACCTGCTGCATTGCATCCCTCGCCGCCGGTGCCGTGATGGGCTTGGAGGCCGCAAGCTGCAACGTTCGAAGTTTCTGGGCCGTGGGCGTCTTCCATCAACTTAGACAAGCAGCCCAGGGGCCTTCACAACTGGAATCGGCGTTTAGAAGAACTGCTAAGGAGTACGATTGGTAATTACTCCGACCCCTCTAGTATTCGGGCGTGAGGAAGTCCGGGCTGCCGGGCCGGGTCACAAAGGCTTGGCCCTGCCTGTAGTCTCCATGGTAGTTCGTTTCGTAGTTTAGTCAATTTAATTTACAGGATCCTAGAATGTAACGCAAAAGGGAACTATCGTGGAGACTTTTTGGGCGCCTTCCATGCTGCAAGATGGCCGGAGGAAGTCCCCTCAACCCCAAACCTTAAGCCCTTAAAGCCCTAAGCCCTAAACCCTCAACCCCAAACCTTAAACCCGCAAAACCCTAAACCCCAAACCTTAAACCCTTAATCGTCCTTGCCCCAGGCGGGATTGGGTTCCGTTGGCGGCGCCTTGGGCTACCTCACTTTCCGCGGCGTAGAGAGGCGATGCAGGGTATGCAATAGCAAGATCAGGGCTGAGAGCAAGGTACGGATAGCTGCTAGCTAGGAGTACTGTGCTATATAACCACGCTGGGACATCGAGAAACGCTGTTCGGATTGTGCAGGTTGTTGGACAGGATAGCTGGACCTGAAGGCTTAAGCCGTAAACCCAACACCCCAAACCGAAGCACCATGGAAGGGTTCATGGGATGTGCACCGAATTCAGAGGAAGGCGGTCTATATTAGACCAATGATACAACTCAGGCCCGGGTTGTGTGGTTTCGGGTCTTGGATTTGGGATTCACGCTCTTTGGGTGTAGGGCTGAGGGTTGCTGCCTCCTCCAGCCCGGTCTTGCAGCAATCGCAGTGGCCCCCTGAGTTCAGGATTTGGTTAGGAGGGTTTGTGCCGAGTTAGGTTTAGGAGCACTGTGTAGGGTTCTTGAGGGTTTGGTATGGTGTCGTTTAGTACAGCTTGGAGTTTGGGGCAGCTAGAGAGCTGCGCATAAGGCCACTTTCCAAAGCACGAGCCTTAGAAACTACATTGATGGACCTGTACCGCCCTAAACCCCTGAACCATGAACTCCTGAACCCTGGAAGCCGAAGCGCCTAAACCTTAAACCCTGGTTCGCAGGATGAGGTGAGGTGCAAGAAGGAGTTCAACAAGCTTAAACCTGGAAAGCTTTAAAGCCTTAAGCCCGAAAGCCCTTTAACAACCCCCAAGCCCTCCTCTTCTAAGGCCTCAAGCACCGAAGCCCCAAACGACGGCCAGGTGCATGCCTTCGGAGGACGAAGGGGCAGCCGATCTGAGGAGGAAGCCGAAGGGGAGAGCGGATCGTGTAGGGTTCCTTTAAGACCCCTATAAGGCCTTGCCAGCCTTTCATAAGGGTTTGTAGGGGGATTCCAAGGCAATGCCATTGCCAATGATTCAGGCCTCTCTATGCCAGGGTTTTGGGAGTGTATGGTTTGGGGCTTTGGGGTGTTTTGAACTTTGGGTTCAAAGTCTGGCGTTTTGGCGAGGTGAAAGTTTGGAGGTTGGGGTTGGGGGATTTGGAGCGCGAGCCATGCTTCAGGGAAGGCTAGCAGGTGAGTTTGAGAAAACACGCAGGGATGGGCTACAGATATAACAGATATATGACATAAGACCTTGGATCATCCCTCACCCTAAGTTAAAGCCCTAAACTTTGCGACTCAGATCTTGAAGTCCTATTTTGACAACGCAGGTCTAGCAGTCCCGCACCTACATCCTGCGATCCTTTGCAAGGGCAGCCTTAGTTACTCTAAAGCCTCAGACCCTAAGGCTTAAGCCTTGTTGGCCATCCTAAACCCTAAGCACTCCTTGCCACGAAGGCGCACCTACATCCTCGCGGGCTTAGCAGCGGCCTTCGGAACGATCCTCCCTGCACCCTTCGCTCTTTGACTGATCTTCCAGAGAAGTGAGTGTAGGGCCTACAGTCTTGGGGTTATGTAGCACGGAGTTTCTTCTGTGGTGCAGGGTTTGGCGTGCTGGGTGTTGTTTTCGTGATGTTGGTGGAGGCTCTCGTGGTTTTCACGTCTGCAGGCAGCTGTGGCAAGCATTCTCATCGTTGATAGCACTATCTTGGCTCCATGAGACCTGTTGGATTATGAGCTGTTCCTGTTCCTTGAGGTTGAGGATCTGCATTCCTAACATCACAAACTCCTTCATGAATCTCGAATCCTTTGAGCCACCAACCCTGAACCCAACCGCAAGTTCAAAGGTGGCAATGATCCTTGTGGCTGAGATCGCCAGCGCTGGCACCGAGAGACACGCCAGCGAGGACGAGTTCATGACAGGACGGGGTAAAGAGGGCGAATGCCTCCACAATATACAAGCAAAAGAAGCAACCCTAAGTCCTCTGAGCCTTATCATCCCTTTTGGTCCCATTCCTGATTTCCTAAGCCGCAAGAGAAATCGTCATCGTGGCAACCGTGCAGCCTCGTTGCAACACAATATGCCCAACCCCACCTTCAATTACTGCAGAAGCCTGAATAAACAGGTCCATCACCTGAGAAAATGATTACTTACACAATCATCTACCCGCAGCCTTCTCAAAGTGTATTGAGCCCCCATAAAATCTTCAGGAGTTCAGCAATCTTCGCACTGCAGGCCTTAGGTTCAGAAGATGCTAAACCCTAAACCAAAACCCTAAACCCTAAACCAAGACCCTAAACCCTAAACCCTAAACCCTAAACCAAAACCCTAATACCTAAACCCTAAACCCTAAACCAAGACCCTAAACCCTAGACCCTAAACCGCAAAATTAGTTCCGGGTTCACTGACTTCGGCCAGAGGCTCGACTCCGCGAAGATTGGCTTCAGGGTTTCGGGGTTTACATACTATAGGGGCCTGAAGAATTACCAGTACCATTTTGAAGAATCCTTATACACTATATTGATTTTTATAGCGGGGCCCAAAACTCTATTTTAGAGTATTAAGGCGCCTATACTATATTGAGGTGTCGGGCCCATGCTCTACCAGCTCAAGCTTTGGTCCCCAAACCCCGTAACCCTGCAATCCAAGCAATGCCTCTGGTAGGCCTTTCGCATCGGACTTCGGGTGTTGGAGGTGTGGTTGGAAGTCAACAGGGAGTTTAGCAACTGGGGTGTTGTAGAGAGCAGTGTACTCATGATATCTCAACAGCACCGAAAACCATGAGAGCCCGTTTAATAAGGTCCGCAACAAACATTCTTCGGTTTCGAATCATCCACGTTTTGCCACAACCCCGAGAGAAGGACGAAGACTTCCTCGGAAGGTCTTGGCCTTTTTGGTGCCCGCCGGAAGCTAAGCCTCCATGGGCAACTGTCAAAGTCACGATCCCTTTGACACCTTTAAAAGATCTATTATTATGAATACTGCGCCCTATAGTTTTGGAACCTAAAAGAGACCCTGAGTTGGACAACCACACAGATTTGGGGAGCGAGGTGCTAAATATAGGTTTATATCAACAAAAGTGTCTTGGGGTGGACGGTAGTAAGTACTAGTATAATTAAGGGTCCATTATATCGCTACTGAACAGTCAGAGCTCCATATCATAAAGGGCGTTCGGTTTGTTTGTAAGCGCGTAGTCTTCAGAGCTCGTGGCTCTCGGTCTTTGGCTTGCGCGAAATCTCTGGAGTTTAGGTGCTCTGATGAGGTTTCCTTGAGCTTAGGTTTGAGGATAGAATCGGCTGGGTTAGGCCCTAAACCCTGAAACCCCAGGATAGCACAGGTCTCCAGAGGCAGAGACCGAAAGTAGTCAAAACTTGACCAGTAAGTCCTACAAATCGAAACCAAACCCCTAAGCTTTCAGCCCTCTAACTACCAAAGCCTGAATGCGTTCCAACAGTTTGCTTAGGGTTTCTTCCTGCCTTGTTGATGGTCTACATCCCAACACTACATGAAAACCATGAAGGCCCCACCCTAGACTGCAACCACTCAAGGTCCCAAGCCCTGCACCCCCAAACCCCATCCCTCAACCTTGTTGCCCAAGCGCTTCAAGCAGTCCAGAAAGTCTATAGAATGCAACCTCACGATGAAAATCCTCATGGAATCAACAAGGCGCGTGGAGATTATTGGGCGCAAATAATCTCATCCAGCACCCTTTGTTTTCTTTTTGCGACTGTACTGTAATCCTGAGGCCGCCACTGCATCCTTTGTGATGCGCTGGGCGATTGTCGCCACGCCCCTCACCAACCATCCATACTATGTCACTGGCTCGGCGGGTAGGGCTTTGGGTTTGGGTTTGGTGTTTCGGGCTCAGGACTTCGAGGGTTCAAGGTGTCGGGTTTAGGGTTGGCTTTGGGCTTGGGGTTCATGACAGGGACGAGCCTTTTGATGTTTATGGGGTCGCCTGCCTCTTAGTCACTTCTGGGCTTAAGTGCTTTGTCACAACTCCCCAATGAAAAGAGAAAAAAGCGGGTGTAATTGCTGTGATACTGTCTCTGGACCTTCCAAACTTTCTGGGCTTCGGGTTAACCGGTTACATTTAGGTAGGCAGGCCATTTCCATTTTCTCAACACGGCCGTATCATTGACTCGAACCCATGCCCTTGCACGAAAACCCTTCGATAGGCCCTCTAGATTCCCAATCTTGCTTACGAGGCCTGAATATTCAGAATACTGAGGGTTTTGGGTTAGAGTATACTATCATGAAAAGTATGTAGGCCCCTGTAGTACTCTAAGCAAGTCATAGACCCGAACCCAGACCACCCCAAAGAAGGCTCCCTTTTTGTAGCCCCCTGCGAAGAAAGGAGAGGCACATTTTTGAGCAATAGCACGCCGAATCCCAAGAGCCCCATTCAGCCCTGCTCCTTCTTCTGGGTAGTTGTCAGAATTAGGGTCCCTTTTTGGGTACCTTGAATAGTAGGTGTGGTATTATAATAAGGACTCCAAAAAGGGACCATAATATTGGCAACCACCCATCTCAACATCCTTAAACCCGAATCCCGAAAGCCTGATAAACCTCAACCAAAACCCTGAGACCCCACAAAACTCCAAGCCTCCGGCCCTCCAGGCCAAGCCATACGACAACCTCTCCGTTTTCCTGGGCCTCGGCCTGGGTCTGCTCGCAGCAGCTGCGGCGTTGAATCTCGCACTTTTTTTGGAGGGCTCTGGCTCAGGGT